AGTCACCATTTACTGGTAAAGGTGAAAGAGTTCACGGTTTATTGGACCTCATACACTCGGATGTATGTGGCCCAATGTCAACAATGGCCAGGGGAGGTTTTCAGTACTTCATAACATTCACTGATGACTTCAGTAGGTTTGGTTATGTGTACCTAATGAAGCATAAACATGAAGCTTTTGAAAAGTTCAAAGAATTCCAGAATGAAGTTCAGAATCAACTTGGCAAAACAATTAAGGCCATTCGATCAGATCGAGGTGGTGAATATTTGAGCCAGGAATTTAGTGATCATCTAAGAGGATGTGGAATTGTTTCACAACTCACTCCGCCAGGTACACCACAATGGAATGGTGTGTCCGAACGGAGAAATCGGACCTTGTTAGACATGGTCCGTTCCATGATGAGTCTCGCTGAACTACCAATCTCTTTCTGGGGTTACGCTCTTGAAACCGCTGCATTCATACTCAATAGGGCTCCAACAAAGGCTACAGAAAGGACACCATATGAGATATGGACAGGAAAGGTTCCTAGTCTAGCTTTTGTGAAGATTTGGGGTTGTCAAGTTTATGTAAAACGTTTACTTTCAAATAAACTTGAACCCAAATCAGATAAGTGTTTATTTGTGGGTTATCCTAAGGAAACAAAAGGATATTACTTTTACAATCCATCAGAGAACAAAGTGTTTGTTGCTCGTAATGGTATTTTCTTAGAAAGAGAATTTCTTTCCGAAAGAACCAGTGGGAGTAAAATTCGGCTTGAAGAAGTTGAAGAAGATCAAGATAGTCAGACTATGCAAGCAGTCCCACAACCTCAGCCACAAGTTGTTGTGGATACGTCTGAGATAACACTCGCTCCAAGGAGGTCATCTAGGGTACGTAACGAACCGGTTAGATACATGTTTATCTTAACTGAGCATCGTGACGTATTATTGATTGACGAAGATGAACCTTTGACCTACCAAGAAGCAATAACGAGCCATCACTCCGATAGTTGGCTAGAAGCCATGAAATCTGAAATGAGATCCATGGCTGATAATCAAGTCTGGGACTTGGTTGATCTACCTGATGGTTGTAGAACCATTGGGTGCAAATGGATCTACAAAAAGAAATTGGATAAAGATGGCAATATAGATGTGTATAAAGCACGTTTAGTGGCGAAAGGTTACAAACAAATTCATGGTATAGACTATGATGAAACATTCTCGCCAGTTGCCATGCTTAAATCAATTCGGATTCTCTTAGCAATTGCCGCTCATTTTGATTATGAGATTTGGCAAATGGATGTCAAAACTGCTTTCCTAAATGGAAATCTAGAAGAGGACGTGTATATGATACAACCTGAGGGTTTTGAACATCCAAGTAATGCTGGGAAGGTATGCAAGCTTAAAAGATCAATTTATGGTCTAAAGCAAGCATCTCGGAGTTGGAATCTTCGTTTTGATGCTGCAATCAAAGAGTTTGGTTTCAATCAAAACGAAGAGGAACCTTGTGTTTACAAGAAATTGAGTGGGAGTGCAATCACTTTCCTAGTCCTATATGTAGATGACATACTTCTCATTGGGAATGATGTTCCAATGCTTTCGTCTGTAAAGGCTTGGCTTGGAAAGTGTTTCTCAATGAAAGACTTGGGTGATGCATCCTATGTGTTAGGGATCAAGATCTATAGAGATAGATCTAGAAAACTAATAGGACTAAGTCAAAGTAACTACATTGACAAGGTTCTGCATAGGTTCAATATGCAAGATTCCAAGAGAGGATTCTTGCCTATGTCACATGGCACATATCTCAGCAAGACTCAGTGTCCACAAACACAAGATGAGCGAGATCGGATGAATAGAGTCCCTTATGCTTCTGCTATAGGTTCTATCATGTATGCTATGTTATGTACTCGCCCTGATATAGCTTGCGCTCTAAGCATGACTAGTAGATACCAGTCAGATCCAGGTGATAGTCACTGGATAGCAGTCAAGAATATTCTAAAGTACTTGAGAAGAACTAAGGATGTATTCTTGGTCTATGGTGGTGAAGATCAGCTCATTGTAAAAGGTTACACAGATGCTGGGTTCCAATCCGATAAGGATGATTTTAGATCGCAGTCAGGATTTGTGTTTTGCCTCAATGGCGGAGCAGTGAGCTGGAAGAGTTCTAAACAAGACACGGTGGCTGATTCTACAACAGAAGCTGAGTACATTGCTGCTTCAGAAGCAGCAAAAGAAGCGGTATGGATAAGAAAATTCATCATTGAGCTTGGTGTGGTTCCTAGCATTATTGGACCAATGGACTTGTATTGTGATAACAATGGAGCCATTGCACAAGCCAAAGAACCTAGATCGCACCAGAAATCAAAGCATGTACTCAGACGCTATCATCTCATTCGAGAAATAGTCAATAGAGGTGACGTCAAGATATGCAAAGTACCGACAGATTCAAATGTGGCTGACCCGCTCACCAAGCCACTACCACAAGCAAAGCATGAACGTCATACTAGTGCATTAGGCATTCGTTTTGTTCACGATTGGTCCTAGTGCAAGTGGGAGACTGTTGGAAATATGCCCTAGGACAATCATAGTTTATGATTTATCAATAAATATTTAATGCTCATTAATTAATAAAGTTGCAAACTCATTTTATGTTAATTATTATTGTGAGTTTTCTTTATTAATATTTAGTCCCTGAATATTCTGTTTAGTAGCTAATTAAGTATGTGACTTAATTGTGGAATGCTACACTTTAAAATAAACATAATATTCTAATTGTCCCTGGTCTAATATTATTAATTTGGGACATTAATAATTAATAGACCAGTATGTGGATTAACTGATGGCTATATTCCACTAGTCATGGGTATAAAGATATCAAGTTAATAACATAGATGCTTGTTAGGGAACAAGTTCATTGGACAGACCCAACTTGGGGACACTGCTAGGTTATATGTCATCAGTGTTGTCCTCAATAATGATGAGGTGCTATATTCTTATACTTGAGATAATCATGGTTACTAGCATGAGAATTAATATGTATTAACACCATTAAATGTTATCTTTAACTGGATAATTATAAAGGTGGTGATTGTACATATTATGAACCATGTAGTAGTATGTGAATTATCAAGATAGTTTTTGTCATTCTTGTACATCGAGAGAAAGATATCTATTGGGCCCCTTGACAAGTAAGATTAATTAGCATGGCCATGCTCAAATGAGGTGTCATTTGATCAAGATTAATCTTACTTGGTAATCAAGAAATATTAATTGAGAATAACAAGGATGACACGACCTAACCTTGTCTCAATTAAGATATCGTTTGACAAAAGAGAATTATTAGCACAAATTAATCATTAAAAGGTTATGTCAGATTTAATTGACATTTATATATTTTGGATAGTCATAATGCCTTGCTAGAGACCGCTTATGATTTGTGAGGCTCGAATTAATTTCTAGCCCACTGCCAATAATATATAAACCTACAGGGTCACACACCTAAGTGATTTGGATCATTAATGTTTGTTAATAACATTAAAATAGCTTGATTAGCCCAATTCGAAAGAGGGTTTCGAATGGTATTGGGCTAGGGCCTCTTTAAGGGTTTTATTAGCCATAAAACTCCTTCTTTCCACCTCTTATAAATAGGGCTAAGGAGACCCACGAATTTTAAGAGTTAAAATTCACTTCTCAAACCTATAGTAGAGAGGAAGAAAGAAGAGAACGCTAGCACGTTCCCTGCGGCCGATCCAGTCACGTGCGTGTGGATACCGGTAGAGCTCGGGATCGTTTTCTCGGACTGTCTGACATCCTTGATTAAGATTGCTATGTAAGTCCCTCTTAAATTCTTGTAATTTCGTTTATAATAAGAACCTCAGATCCGTTCATTTACTTTTGGGTAGAATAATTTTTGTTTATTCCGCTGCGTTTTTCTGCCCGAAACCCAACAGTTCGTCCAGCTAGATCCGGGGTCGCCCTTACTAAAGCAGCAAGGAGCCTCTAGCCGTCCGTCCATGGGCCCTTGGCAGAATTTACCTTGGCGCTGGGACTGGGCCGTCTGCTGAGGTGGGCCCTGGGTGGCGACGTCCGTCGCCTCCTAGCGTTGGATGACCTTCGGCCTGGGCTCTCAAGGGAGGAGACGTTCGTCTCCCGTTCCTTGGGCTGTACTCCTCTGGGACCAAGACGTTCGTCTAATTAGGGAGAATGGGTCAAACCCCCGTTTGGGCCATTTACCCAACAAAGTCTATGGTTCATAAAACTCTACACCATATTAAATAAAAGTTTATAACTAAAATATTTACGAATGACAAATTGTGTATAAATATGCAGTCACTAAAGTTATACACTAATTAAAGTCTATCATTCATGACACAACAGGTCATTGATTTTTATTGTGTCACTAATTTGTGAACAAGTTATAGACTAATTTAAAAGCAGACTCCAATTACAGACTTTTAGTCACAAGCAATCATTTTATCAAAGACTAATTTAAAAGCAGTCACCAATGGCATTTTATCAAAGTTAATGGCATGTCTATCATTCATAAAACTCCACACCATATCAAATAAAAGCCAATCAAATATATATAAAAAATGAGATCCTGTTTGCCCAAAAATCAAAGAATGAAATGTCAAGGCTGCTTCACAGACTAATGACCGAAAATTTGCAACAACTTGATCAAGAAGCTACGACAGTGACCAATATTACGGGAAAGAATTGAGACTGGAATGCCATACAGGCTTCAACCACTAATTCCTTGGCTGGATCCACCAATTGTCTATAATTACAGGCTCACACAGTTCTTATAAAATAATTGATTTTTTATTTATTTTATTTATATGTTTCGTTTTTTTCGGTTTCGGTTTGGTTTTTGGGGGTTAAAACCGAAATCGAAACCAAACATGTTTGGTTCGGTTCGATTTTTTATGTCCGGTTTCAGTTTTTCACCTGTTGGATTTATTTGGTCGATTTGATTTGATTGGGTTTTCGGTTTTAGGTTTTCGGTTTTACTACCCTATTATCCTATGGGCCTTCGTTTCATCTTCTCCGGTTTCCCATCGCCTTCCACTCCCATGAAAGGCAATTTCCGGTGATGATGAGATTGGCGGCGGCTGCCACGTCCACCATCAAGCCGCCACATTCCCTTTCATTTCTGTCAGGTAAACCATTATCATTTTCGATTGCTTCGTCACCTATCCTCGAGGACCCTGCTACTCCTAAGGAGCTCTATTCTCAGCTCCTCTCTCTCCTGTCCCTCCCGAATTGGCAACAAAGCCATTCTCTCAAGAGACTATTACCTTCTCTGTCCCCTTCTCATATCTCCTCTTTTATCTCTAGAAACCAGTCTCTCGATCCACGTACTGCTGTTTCCTTCTTCGACTATCTCTCTCGTGTCCCTTCATTCAAGCTTGATGTGCAGTGCTATTTGTCACTCCTTCACATTCTCATACCCCGTAAGCTGTTTCCCGCCGCCGATCGAATACGCCTTTTGATGATTAAATCCTGCGAAAGCCCGGATGAAGCGAAATATGCCGTTAGTTTGTTTCTGGGTATGCATAATATCGATGATCATGATGATGGTGGCGGCAGTAGTCTAAAATTCAAATTTAGGCTCAATGTTAGGTCTTTTAACACGATGTTGATGTCTTTGTCGAGGTTTCTGCTGATTGAGGATATGAAATGCTTGTATCTGGAGATGTTGAGGGTTAAGATTTCACCTAATATATACACTTTCAATACTATGATAAACGGGTACTGCAAACTGGGCAATGTGACTGAAGCTGAGATGTACATGAGTAAGATCTGTCAAGCTGGATTGAGTCCAGATGCTCACACATACACTTCGTTCATCTTAGGTTATTGCAGGAAAATGGATATAAGCAGTGCACGTAAGGTATTCGAGGAAATGCCTCAGAAGAGTTGTCCATGGAGCCATGTTACCTATAACATTTTGATGCATGGGTTGTGTGAAGCAGGAAAGGTAGATGATGCGTTGAAGCTGTTTTCCCAAATGGGGGTTGATCATTGTTGTCCAAATGTCCGGAGCTATACAATTTTGATTGATGCATTGTGTGAATTGAATAGGGAAGTGGAGGCGCTGAATCTGTTTGATGAGATGGTGAAGAAAGGTTGCCAACCAAATGTCCACACTTACACTGTTCTCATTAATGGTATGTGTAAAGGAAAGAAGCTTGTTGAAGCAAGAGGGTTATTAGATGAGATGGGGAAAAGGGGTCAAGCTCCTAATGTGGTAACTTACAATGCTTTAATTGATGGGTACTGTAAAGTGCAAAATGTTGATTCTGCAATGGAGATATTCAACTTGATGGTGTTAAATAAGTGTATGCCAAATGTGCGCACGTATAATGAGTTGATATCTGGATTTTGTCTGGTGAAAAAGGTGCACAAAGCAATGGGGCTACTTGATAAAATGCTTGAACAGAAGCTCTCTCCATCTGTTGTCACATACAATCTGTTGGTCCATGGACAATGTAGTGAGGGCCACATAGATAGCGCTCTCAGATTGCTTACGTTGATGGGTGAGAGTGATGTGGCTCCAAATGAGCAGACCTATGGTCCTGTGATCAATGCATTATGTGAAAAAGGCTGTGTTAAACATGCTCGTTCCATATTTGACTCCTTGAGGGATAAGGGTGTAGAAGCAAATGATGTGATATACACCTCTTTAATTAATGGTTATTGTAGAGTAGAAAATCTTGATGTTGCCCTAACTTTGTTCAAAAGGATGCTTGATGAGCAATTCATTCCAAATTCAAGCACCTATAATGTAATACTTAGTGCTTTATGCCAAAAAAATAAGCTCCAGGAAGCCACTAAGTTGTTGGAAAGTATGGAAAAAAGAGGAGTCAAACCCACTGTAGTTACATACAGTATTTTGATCGAGAAAATGCTAAAAGATAATGATTTTTGCGGTGCTTATAGGGTTCTTGATTTAATGGTGTCCTTGGGATCTAAACCTGATGTCTGCACTTACACTTCATTTCTTGTGGCATATTGCAACCAAGGGAAGTTGGAAGAAGCTGAAAAATTGATGGCGAAAATGATAAAGGACGGGGTAACGCCAGATTTGATGACGTGTACAGCATTAATGGATGGGTATGGACGTTTGAGATTACTTGATCACTCCTTTCGAACTTTTAAATCTATGGTTGGTGCTGGATGTAAACCTTCTCTGTATACCTACTCAGTTTTAATCAAGCATTTGTTACATGAAAATCGAATAGCAAAATGTTTCAATAGGTTTGATGTTGGATCTATAAACATTGCGGATGTGTGGAAAATAACGGATTTTGTAACTGTTGTCGAATTGTTTGAAAAAATGGTGAAACATGGCTGCCCTCCTGACACAAATGCGTATAGTACACTGATTTATGGACTTTGTAGAGAAGGACGCTTTGAAGAAGCTATGATGCTTGTTGATCATATGAAAGATTGCGGAATGTCTCCTGATGAAGATATCTATAACACACTGATAAGATGTTGCTGCAAGTTAAAAAGGTATGATGATGCAGCAAATTTGGTTGATACAATGGTTATGCATGGTTATTTACCACATTTTGAGGCCTACAAATTCCTTGTATGTGGACTCTATGAAGAAGGACGTAAGGGAAGGGCTGAGGAAGCTTTCTTAAAGCTCCTTAACTGTGGTTATAATAATGATGAAGTTGCATGGAAACTGTTAATTGATGGCTTACTTAAGAGAGGGCTTTCTGATAGATGCTCCGAGGGTTTGGGTATCATGGAAAAAAACGGTAACCTGATTCATCCTCAAACATATACTATGCTGATAGAAGGACTTATTCAAACAGAAGGGCGTGCAGAAGAATAGTAATGTGCTCAATTGAGAATCTATGGAGCACCTTCATGCATTGATTCTTACTTCTGCAATGATTTGTATGCAGTTTCCATGCAAATTAAGTAAGCCGTCAATTAACAGTTTCCATGCAACTTCAGAGAGGGCCTTCTGATAGATGCTCCAGCCGTCAGTCATTATTAATGTACTAGAAACATCATTTGCTTCAGATAACAGTGGGGTGCTGGTTTTAATAGTCAAGGAGCTGGTTCATGTTATGCAATACTTGTTGGATATTGATTATGAACCCAATGAAGATAATCTTGAAAGGTTATGGGGAACAGTGATATCATTTACAACATTTAGGTACTCTTTGGTGGGTGTGCCTGATCAGGATAAGTTATCCGTGGAGATACAAAATCTGGGATGTAAAGTGGTTCACCTCTATAGCGAACTGAGACAGGTTTGTGAGTTTCTTCTTTTCAGCTCGTCACTTGAATATTCCACATCTCGAATAGTAAAAACATCATAGGGCCTCTTTGGTTAGATAGAGTTATGTGTGTCTATTTGATTGTTTAAATCCAAATCCATTTCTTAAGTTAGAAATCACACTGATTTACTTTTTAGTAGATTTTGAAAACCTGTGTTTTCCAGACCCCCCCCCCCCCACAAATAAAATAAAATAAATAGAAGGATTATCCAAGCAAACAACTTGATATTCATCCCTTTACTAAACACAGCCCCCCTTTTGTTAACATGTGACTTTTTTTTTTTTATCGTCAAACCGAAAACTTTATATTAAATCAATAAGTCATTAGTCAATTGGCTAGAAATACAAGAAGGCGCATAATCATAATCAACTACTTGATCTGAGATGTGAACATGTGACTTAGCTAAAGCGTGGGCCACATGATTCGCACATCTTTTACAGAAAGAGATTTTAAAAAGACTTTTTGTCGCTAACAAACTACGGATGTCGTCAATAATTAGATGAGTGTAACATGATCCTTCCTGTTTCTTTAAGCTCTGCACTGTAAGTGCATCCGTCTCTATTTCCACCCGTGTCCAGTCCGCCTCGATAGCTCCCATAATAGCATCCCGGATCCCCATCGCTTCCGTCTCTTCTGCTGTCCACCCGGCTTCGCACCCTACCCCTCGGGCCTTAACCACGGATCCCTCCTCGTTCCTAGCCACCCAACCCCAAGCACGGGTACCCCCAGTTTCATTAACCGCCCCATCAACATTTATTTTTATTACCCCCGGCATAGGTCTTTCCCATTTTGCAGCCCCCTCCCCTGCCGAGGCAGCCCCCCTATTCGTTGGAACATTCTGAGCATCCCGCCAGGCCCCAAGTACACTATCTGCCACTTGTACCACCGTAGTGACTTGGAAAGCAGGAAATGCATTAAGTTTTAACAGTGCATAAGTGAAAGCCGAAGTTCACCCAATATATACAACTTAGAGAGTTAGAGTGAATCAAATACGGTACTATGGAGGAAAGGATTATTAAATTACATCTTGATTTTTGTGTTTTGAAAAATTATTGCAGGTTGACTCGTACATTTTTTATGGGTGTTTTTTTGCCTTTTAATGGCATAGTTTTGAGATCCTCACTTTACATCTGCTACCATTGTAGGTGAATACACCCATCTTTTCACTATGCAAAGCAGCTAGAAGCTCAGTAATACTTCCAGAAAGAAGCACTCAACCATATAAGGCTTCATTTAATAATGCATTTACTTGTCCATATGCTGCCCCGAGTTCAGACTTTCTATTAGTAGTGCCATCAAGTCCATAACAGAGGGACAAGCTAGTGGATGTATCCGGCAGTTAATAGCTGATTTTTTAGAATCATTGGAGTGGATGAAAACTACACCTATGCTTCCTGCTGAAACTGACCAAATAAAACAAGCTATAAGTTACTAATCTACCCTCTTCTGTTACTAATCTATCCCGTGAAGCTTTTCTGCAACTATAAGTTAATTGTTTCTACTTCCATCTCTCCTCAGAGAATCCTGTGGGACAGCTCTTAAGGAGAAACATTTACTTGACATGTCACACATGGAAGGTTTTGTAGATGAAAAGAACAAATATTTTTCAAAGCAACTTGCTGCTTTAAATGGTGTGTTCAGGAAAGCAGCAGAGGATGACACCCCAGATGATGTGAGTATTTTACCAATGTTTTTTCTTGCCCATCTCAATCTAATCCAATATGATCTTCAAGAAGATGCTATTTACCTTGCAAATGTTTATAAAACTTAAACCAGTTATAACCGTGATGTGGGATACTCAAACCACCCCACAAGTCCAGGCCAACCTGGACAATAGTAAAGTGAACAAATGGGCCGAAATCATCTTCAAACCGGCTGCCCAAGCCATTTCGTAGGTGGGTGCCTAAAAACAACCATTGCTCCAATCATGGTACCAGTGAAAGTATGCTGATGCATTTTACGGAAAGACTTATCAGCGCCGCAATATCAGTGGCAGATCCTGAGCTGATTAAGAAGTTCATTATGGAAGGATATTAAATTCCTTTACAGCAGATTTCTGATTTATTGTTCGATTGCTTTCCTTCATTAGATTAGTTAATTACTTTCCTTAGTTAAGCTGATCTGCAGCTTTATTGCTTTCCATCATTTGATAAGTCTATTTTAAGAATTGATTAATGTAATCCTTTCCTTCCTTACTGGTTCTTGTAACCCTTACTATAAGTAGGGATTCCTGCTTTGAATAATGGACTGGCCAGAATTAAGTATTATCAAGGAGAAAGGAACTCCATAAAATTCCTGAAGTTCTATCCCCTTCCCTGCCTTCCTTATTTTCCATTATTACCAGCAAAAATAGAGGGATCTCATCTCTCTGTCCTCACCAATCGCCGGTTGACGCGAGCTCTAGCCCGGGAACATAACATATGCCCAGCTCACCCTAGAAGCATCCTCAAGATGCGACAGTTACAGTTATGGGCATGTGTAGGATATCAGTACTAGAATTATGAATGCAATTCATTAGTGTTATTAGTTTCATATTAGTAATCAGCAATACTAGTTTCTTATTAGTAATACATAGTAAGAAATACTAGTTTCTTATTATTAGAGTTCTTTTTAGTTGACATTGCTAATATATATGAATAATGTAATGCATTTAGCTTGTCCATATGCTGCCCCGAGTTCAGACTTTCTATTATTAGTGCCATGAAGTCCATAACAGAGGGACAAGCTAGTGGATGCATCCGACAGTTAATAGCTGATTTTTTAGAATCATTGGAGTGGATGAAAACTATACCTATGCTTCCTGCTGAAACTGACCAAATAAAACAAGCTATAAGTTACTAATCTACCCTCTTCTGTTACTAATCTATCCCGTGAAGCTTTTCTGCAACTATAAGTTAATTGTTTCTACTTCCATCTCTCCTCAGAGAATCCTGTGGGACAGCTCTTAAGGAGAAACATTTACTTGACATGTCACACATGGAAGGTTTTGTAGATGAAAAGAACAAATATTTTTCAAAGCAACTTGCTGCTTTAAATGGTGTGTTCAGGAAAGCAGCAGAGGATGACACCCCAGATGATGTGAGTATTTTACCAATGTTTTTTCTTGCCCATCTCAATCTAATCATATATGATCTTCAAGAAGATGCTATTTACCTTGCAAATGTTTATAAAACTTAAACCAGTTATAACCATGATGTGGGATACTCAAACCACCCCACAAGTCCAGGCCAACCTGGGCAATAGTAAAGTGAACAAATGGGCCCAAATCATCTTCAAGCCGGCTGCCCAAGCCTTTTAGTAGGTGGGTGCCTAAAAACAACCACTGCTCCAATCATGGTACCAGTGAAAGTATGCCCAGCTCACCCTAGAAGCATCCTCAAGATGCGACGGTTACAGTTATGGACATGTGTCGGATATCAGTACTAGAATTATGAATGCAATTCATTAGTGTTATTAGTTTCCTATTAGTAATCAGCACTACTAGTTTCTTATTAGTAATACGTAGTAAGAAATACTAGTTTCTTATTATTTGCGTTCTTTTTAGTTGACATTGCTAATATATATGAATAATGTAATGCATTTAGCTTGTCCATATGCTGCCCCGAGTTCAGACTTTCTATTAGTAGTGCCATCAAGTCCATAACAGAGGGACAAGCTAGTGGATGCATCCGGCAGTTAATAGCTGATTTTTTAGAATCATTGGAGTGGATGAAAACTACACCTATGCTTCTTGCTGAAACTGACCAAATAAAACAAGCCATAAGTTGCTAATCTACCCTCTTCTTTTACTAATCTGTCCCGTGAAGGTATTCTGCAACTATAAGTTAATTGTTTCTACTTCCATTTCTCCTCAGAGAATCCTGTGAGACAGCTCTTAAGGAGAAACATTTACTTGACATGTCACACATGGAAGGTTTTGTAGATGAAAAGAACAAATATTTTTCTATAGTTGTTCTTGAAGACTCTTGGTTAGTATATAGAGAGGTTCTATAATTCTATTAATTGATTACACCATTGAGGTTCTATTTAGGAGTTAGTTTCTGCGTCCCCAGCATGGCCAAATACTAAAATTCCTCCTAGCAGCAGCCCGATTCTGCTATGGGCGAGTAGTTCTTTATTTTCATGTAGCTTTCATTTTTTTTTTCTGTTCCCAACCACACCTAATAAGACAATTAACTAAAGTGGGATATGCAACATTTTCAGGTGCCCAATTACTTATGTTGTAAGATAACACTTGACATTTTACGTGACCCTGTGATTACTCCATGTGGGATCATGTATGAGCGGTCAAAGATCCTTGAACATTTGGAGAAGGTAATCATTCCTGACATATTGGATTCAAATATCTTACATATTCTGTTACTTTCTGTATATGATACATTGATCATATGTTTTAGAACAAGTGTAGGTGGGGGGATTTGATCCGATGACTTCAAGATCCCTATCTGCATCTCAGTTGGCTCCAAATTTAGCCATTAAAGAAGCAGTGCAGGCATTTTTGGATAAAAGTGGCTGGGCTTACCAGATAGATAACTATAGTTAACATTTTGGTGCATGGTAGATACACATATCATTATGTCATTCATACAGTTTTGTTCAGTGTATATGTTTGGGCTCTTGTCTGTACAGTGATTACTGATTATGATGATGATATTTATTTATGTACAACATATACTGCACACTTTTCTTTTTTTGCATACAGACCAGTAGTTGAGAGAGCTGAATGTATGTGAGGGCATTTGGTGTGCTAAAAATGGGCTCAGAGGCACATGACAGAATGGTTTGAGATCTTTTAAGAGTTAAGTGGCTAGATTTGTTGAATAAACTGAATAAATTTTACTGGGACGGGCTGGCTTGACCCGGGACCCGGGACCCGGCCTGACCCGATCCGGTTGACCGGGACCAAGCCTAGGGCCCAACCCGGATGAAGAAGCAAGCTGTACCGGGCTTTGATTTTAGTGGACTGGCCCGGCCGGACCGGTCCCGGTCCGGACCTAAAGGTTAAGAGTTCAAAAAAAAGATTGGGCTTGGAATTGTTTGGCTCAACCCGAACCAATCCCGAAGCCCGCCAGGTAGCCTGGCCTGACCCGGTCCCGGTACAAACCCGGGCCAGTACCGGGTCTGATAATTTTGGGCCCGGAGCCCGGTCCATTCGCGGCCCAGTCCACCCATATGTATATGCTCTACAATTTTAAATTTGATAAACGAAAGAACAATAATCATAATATGGAGTATCTAAAAGGTCATAGTCGTAGGATACTAGGATGGTGTGGCTAGTGGTGGACCTGGTTTGGGCCGCCTGGCCCGCTACTGTGCGGGCCCGGGACCAGCCCAGTCTGGCGGTCTGGGACCGGGTGGTGACCCGAACCGGTGGGATAGCGGGGTGCGGGAACGGGTAGGGCAAATGGGGGCCCGGCCCGGTTTGGGCCCAATTCCTTGTTTTTATCCCATTATTTTTGGGTTTCCATCGGATTGGGCTGGGTGTTTTGGGGGGGTTTGGGGGTGGGGGGGTGAGGGTAGTTAGGAAAGCAAAAAAAAATTACATTCGACCCGACCCGGCCCGGACCCGGTGGATACCCGGTCCGGTCCCGGGTCTACCCATTAAAACTCAAAGGCCCGCCGGGCCTAAGCTCGGCCCGGGTCCATACCTGGGTGTGGCCTTTTTTTATTTATCTAAAGATGGTCTCCGAGAATGACAATTGTACATATCAGTATCAACCAAGTGCTGTTTTAGTAGTAGACCAGTTTTTACTTACAAAATAAATTAGGGAAAATTCCCGAAATAGGAGTAAATAAGTTTGAAAATTCCAAAATAGGATTGTCATATTTTTATTCCCAAAATAGGAGTAATTGCTGCCAGATTTGAAAAATACTGTCATCTTTAAAGTCTGGTACTGCCAAAACATGGCAGTGATTAGTCCTATTTTGGGAATAAAAACATGATAATCATATTTTGAAATATACAAACGTTTTTAGTCGTATTTAGAGTAATTTCTCAATAAAATTAGTGTATAGGAGAATTGAACAAAAACCGGTTGGTTTGATTTCATTTTGGTAGATCACGAAACTGGACAGTACTTATTTGTCGTCGATCTTGTATGTTGTGTATGACCGTTCACAGGATTGGTGTTGAAGAATAGGAAAAAGGTACATATATACTCCTATAGTATAGGTGCAGGAACAAATATACCCCTTAACTTTGAAAAAAGTGCAAAAATATCCCTCATGTTCTTATAAAGGAGTAAATTAATCCTTATTGACTTAAAATTAATAAAATAAATTTCAAAAAACACCAAAAAATGAGAAATTCGAAATTAAAATATAAAAAAAATTAAAAAATGTAATTGTGTCCAATTCTCCCTTTTCGTTTTTGTATCACAATTAAATATTTTTAGTATATAAATTCACTATTTTGTAATTTTTGGGCTATTTATCATCATACAAAATATGTAATTTTATAGTGCAAAAATGCAAAATTAATTTTTTTTACATTGCAACACATATGCTAGCACATTTTCAATAGAATCTTAAATATATAGTAAAATTTTGAAATAATATTTTATATTCAAAATATTAATTTTTTGGTATAAGTCAATTTAAATTTAGGTTAGTTTGATTGGTTTTTGCTCCGATTGAAAGTCTGAAATAAGTCGGGAAGTCTAACCCTAAACTCAAAGAATAAATTTATGGAGTAAGTTTGACAGATAGAATTGGACTTGGTTACACACTTTTACACATGTCTGTGTTACTGTGTATGTTTTTTTTGTTCTGCACAGACAAAACATATTTTGTCAAAATACGAAAAAAGCCTACACATACATGCGTAAAAGTGTCTACACGAAAAAATGTGTACCTTTTTCTGACAGATAACACAAGTTGCCACTTGCTACATACTACTATTAGCAGTATAGTACTATAGTATGACTGTACAAGTACTAGTACATAAAGGTGGACCCGGTCCCGGGGTCGCCCCGAATCGGACCCGACCGATTGTCGGGCTAGATCGGTAACAGAAGGGGTGGTTCAGATATGGGACCAGACCTGGGGGAGGGTCACGAGGAGCGGTCCTAACTCTAGTTTATCAGATAGAGATTAGCGGCATGTCCGGTGCAATCACTTTTATGCAGGGGCAGACAGTAGTAGAGACTCAGGAGGGCGACCAAGGAGCAGTCGCCCCTCTAACAATTTTTTTTTAGTGTTTTTATATACCAAAAAATAATTTTCGCCCTCCGATTTTTTTTTTTTTAAGTTACCACCCTCCCAAGATATACTTCCTGGGTCCGTCCCTGCTTTTATGCATTTCAACCATTGTAGGTTTGTAACTTGTAAGCATTGTAAGAGGTGTAAATCTGCTTCAAATAAAAAAAGAGGTGTAACCGTAAACCGTGTAAATAAATTTAAAAGGTGAAAAATGGTGTGAAGAGGTGGAAGGCTTCAAACTTCAAAGTATAAAACACTTAAAAGACTGAGACAGGGACGGCTCGATCGGAGGAATGGTACATGTACTGTTTGGTAGCGGCCTGGCCCGGTACCGGAGCAAATACTACAAACAAAAACGGGATCGACACGGATACCGGGTCAGTACCGAGCTTTAAGTATATGAAACCGGTACAAGCCGCGACCCGATTTCACCCCAAGGAAGTTGCTCGAAATTTCCGTAGATAAGCCATGCTCAATAACACAATAAATACGTAGTATATATATATAACATACTCCTGTGTGACATATTATACGTAGTATATTTCACACAACCAATTAACTTCTATATATTCTACTGCTCTATTCCATTCTAACACAATTCTTGTGCAGCACGCGTGCGGAAAACGTCTCCAACAGGACTTTCAAATCCTGTATTTTATACAAAAACAATAACATTAACTAACTGTTCAAGATAATAAAAACAACAAAAAGTATATATATAGTTATGCATCTTGCATACTAGAAGAGGATGAGACATAACATTTTATAACGAACTGATATTTTTTTCCAATAACGATAAAGGCAGGACTAAAATAAATACTAAATAAAATGTAGAGAGTAATATTTTGTACTTTTTTGATATTTTATTGATAGAGATAATTTTAAATGAACATTATATATATTAATTAAATAATTATCTCTTGTATTTTATTTAATTGTGTAAATATAATCTTGTACTTAGTTGATATATAATAGAAGTCTAGAACTCTCGATTGCACAAATATAATAGTCACAATAATTTATTATATCAAATAAAATTAATCAGTTTTATCAGGAAAATATATCCTTTTTAAGATCTTTTCAAATAACTAAAAGAGTGAACTACCCAAATATGACAAAAAAAGTGGCCAAAGAGCACAAATAGGATGACATCTTTTAAATTCCTCTCAGTAGGACTATTTATGTGTGTTTGGACAAATATACCCTTGTACCTTTTGAAATGTTTTAATTAATAATAAAATCATAAAAAATAATCCATAAAAAAATGAAAGAAAATAATAATAAAAATTATAAATATTAAAAAAATAAAAAATTAATTTTTTTAAAAAAGTAAAAAAATAAAAATACGTAAATAAAAAATGCCATTGCCTCTGCCACCCCAGCACCACCAGCTCCCATCACCGGATGGAAATGTTAATTTAGTAATGTCATAATAATGACAAATTCAATCAGAATTTTGGCATTATGAAGATTGAAGAGTAATAATACCAATTTTCTTGGCATTTTCAAAAAGAAAAAAACATTTTTTGCAAAAAACAAATGGCAGAATTGTCACCGATTGGAGGTGCTGGTGCTGGGAGGCGGTGGGTAACATATCCATATCTTATCTTGTTGTTTTTATTTTTGTTTCGACGGGAAACCGCTGCTTAGGAGCATGTCTGTATGCACGCAATGCAACACATGATATTATGGTAATTTACAGAAATTACCCTAAATAGGAGTAAAAACGTTTTGAAATTCCAAAATAGGAGTATCATATTTTTTATTCCCTGAATAGGAGTAATCTGCCAAGTTTGAAAAAAAATGCCATGTTTAAAGCCTTGTAATTTCCAAACTTGGCAGAAATTTACTCCTATTTAGGGAATAAAAACATGATACTCCTATTTTGGAATTTCAAAACATTTTTACTCCTATTTAGGGAATTCTCTCTGAATTCCCTAAATAGGAGTAAAAAAGTTTTGAAATTCTAAAATAGGAGTATCATGTTTTTATTCCCTAAATAGGAGTAAATTTCTGCCAAGTTTGGAAATTACAAGGCTTTAAACATGGCATTTTTTTCCAAACTTGGCAGATTACTCCTATTTAGGGAATAAAAAACATGATACTCCTATTTTGGAATTTCAAAACGTTTTTACTCCTATTTAGGATAATTTCTGTAATTTGTATTGGCACCGCCATCATTCAATATATTTATATATTTATCGTATCGAAATGTTTTTTACGCGTGAGAAAATTATCGCATTTTGTCAAATAGCACAATTATTGTGGAGTCGGATGAAGTTTTTATAGATTTAGTATTTTATCAATAAGTGTTTGTTTGAGAATAAGACTCAAATAAATTAAACAAGACATTTGTAAATCTTTCCAAATGCGACAACATAAGTTCAGTAGGAATTGATCAAAATGCGTTTTAGAATATACAAAAAATTGCTTTTGTACAAATGATTTTGAAAGGCCTTAAATTTTAGAAAAAATTGATAGTAATAATCTCAACTGTTAGCAATCCGCTCATAATAATCTCAACTATCGATTATTTCAGAATAATCCCAACTTTAGGGACCTTCTGCCAGTA